AAATAAACGTAGTATATAGAGACAATGTCTCGTATCATTTCAAAAATTCATTTATTTTAGGATCCATTGCTACAGAATTACTGTGTTTCCTTTGAAGATGTCATAATATTTTGCTTTTTCATAGTTCTAGTATTATTACAGTGATTTCTTCACACCTGAAGTAACAGTCACTTCTTATTTTTCAATTTACTTTCATTGGGGCAGGACTCTTTTTTTCAGGCTGTGACTAGGACGTATGTTGATGGAGGTCATTTGGCTTCGCTTCTAGGGTGCTTCAGTGGCGAATATTCAGTGTGGTTTTCTTGATTATAAATAGCCTTGGGGCCACGGCATTCTCAAATGCCAGTTGTAGTAGTCGTGTACTGGGCAGGTGAGTGGGCTCACAGCCTCCTGTGTAGCTGGGATGATGTGGGTGATGGTAGTAGCAGAGAGCAGAGGTAGTAAGAAGCTTGTGTTTTTCCCAAGCACTGTGCACTTCTGTCAGCAGATGTGATGGACTGTGCAGGCTGACTTCCAGGCCTGTAGGTAGCACTTGCAGGTGAGAGCCAACTGCAGCAGTGACAGTGGGTTTATGCTCGACCTTTGTTAACCAGATGGGGTACTTGGGTGTCCCAGGTCATAGGTTGGCCCATGGAATACTCAGTGGTTCAGAGGTCCTATGCTCGGCCTCTGAGGTGTAGGGCAAAGGTGGGAATCAATGAAGCTGGCAGGGCTAAGCCAGAAAAGCCTGCACTTGGAACCTGCGATAGCAGAAGCAAGTGCCAACCCAGAGGGGTGTGAGGCTCCACAGGCAAGTGAGCAAGAGTTGGACCCATTTGACTCTCACACTCTGGAGCAAGTGGAGCTCCCTTCCACAGCGCAACCGCAAAGTTCATGTCAAACCTCACTCAATTAGCACGGATAATAGCGCTATAAAGATAAATAAATCATCCCAAGTCAGAACACAGGAAGTGCTTATCCTCAGTAAATAAGACTGCCAACACAATCAACAGCCAAATTATTCACAGCAACAAATTTCAAATTAAAGTAGTTTAGACAGATTTAAAAATAAATATATATGCATACATAAAATATCCATTATGGGGGCCACATTATGAAAAAAAAAAAGCATTGAAACATTTAGAAATAAGAAAAATGAAACTTAAATAACATAATTTTATATCCGTATATATTTATGTTGAGTAGATTAGCCATTGAGATTAAAATGAAATGGCTATATAACGTAGAAAGTTAGGTTAATCTATAGATAATTAGTAAAAAGAAAGATATGAAGAAGTCATTCATAATAAAGCATGAAGTGATTAAACAGCTGCAATATATAAAACAGAGGTAATTCAAAATAGAATCCAAAATGATACAGGTCAACATATTTCAGATTTCCCAGAAAATGATACTGCTTTGGGGACACAATATTCAAACGAACAAAGTTAGACCATTTTCTGGAATTGCAAATGGGCAGAAATGCTCAAATTCAGGGAGCATAAGGAAGATAATTCACTCCGAGATTTTACACTGCCCCAGCAAATGCAAATTAGTACATCTGTAGATAAAACATATCTAAAATGTAGATTTCTCAGCCTCTGTTTCAGTCATGGGTATTTACGTGATTAGATTTCAGTTTAATTCGACGTAAGCATATCTGATGTGGTCAATTTTCAGAGTATCTGCAAATTAAAGAAAAGCTGCTTGCTCATGAGTTCTTCTTTGCTCCCTTTCTGTGGTCTGCAATGTGATTGCGGCAGTGAGCACCTTTCACCTTGAATGCAGAAATTAGAGTAAAAATGAGATCAGTGTCCTAGGGGATAACAGAGCAACAAGAAAATAGGGACCAAGGTCCCTGCATAACCAAATAGAACAGAGCTTTCCTATTAGCCTGGGTCAGCATGGAAACAGATTACCACACATAAGCCAAAACCGTGAGATCTTTTTGTAATAACATCTTGGTATTTACTATCATACAGATTTTAGGTACTCTAAGACATTCATATTGTTTCATCGTTTGAGGAGAAAACAATAGCGAAAGGGAGAGAAAGAGGGAGAGGGTAATGAGTGGGTAAAGTCATAGGAGAGGGGAGAGACAGAAGTTTAGACTTTGTCAAATTGTCTTATGAAAATTTTTTATTTATAAAAAAAAATAAAGTGAGAGAATATCAGCTTAGAGAATCCAAATACATTGCAGCTATGTGAAATTTATAAGTTACTCCCAGAAAACGTAAAGACTAAAAACATTAAAATTAAAGGTTGGAAAAATATACAACCAACAAGCAAAATTACTACTAGCCAAAAAATATTCTGAAAATGATATGAACAAAAATTGACTGAAACAAGCAAACCTAAATGGCTAGCAAACATAAAAAGTGTCAATTTTGCTAGTAGTTATTGGGAAATAAAATTGACATATATGTACATGTATGTGTATTTTATATATATGCATAAATGTATATATTCATAGATGTATATATCAACCTTTAATAATTAAACTAGTAGAAATTTTAAGAAGAGAAAGCCTTGGCAAATAAACATTTATAATACATATTGTTATAAACATTATAGAAAGAAATCTGCCAGTGTCTATTTAAATAAAAGTCTATAAACATACTAACCCAACAATTCCACTATTAAAGCTCATCTGTGTCGATATATCCATATAGCAAAATAATAAATGTGTCTTGTTAAAAAACAGGATTCAGGTACATAAGTTGCTAGGGCTGCCATAACAAAGTACCACAGACTGAGTGGCTTTAAGAATGGCCTTTTGGCCTAGAGTGGTGTCTCACGCCTGTAATCCCAGCACTTTGGGAGGCCAAGGAGGGCAGATCACAAGGTCAGGAGATCAAGACCATCCTGTCCAATATGGTGAAACCTCATCTCTACTAAAAATATGGAAAAATTAGCTAGGTGTGGTAGCCTGTGCCTGTAGTCCTAGCTACTCGGGGAGGCGGAGGAAGGAGAATTGCCTGAATCTGGGAGGCGGGGGCTGCAGTGAGTGGAGATCGCGCCACTGCATTCCATCCTGGTGACAGGGCAAGACTCTGTCTCAAAAAAAAAAATTAAATTAAATTAAAAAATGAATAAAAAATAAAAAGAATGGCCTTTTATTTTCTCACAGTTCAGGAGGCTGTAAGTCCAATATCAAGATGTCAGCAGAGCTGGTTTCTTTCTGAGACTTCTGTCCTTGGCTTGTAGGTGGCTCTCATTTTACATGGTCTGCCCTGTGTACATATCTGTGTCCTAATCTTCCGTTTATATAAGGACACCAGTGATTAGATTAGAACCCACTCTAATGACCTCATTTAACTTAATTACTCTTTGAAAAACTCTTTCTCCAACTACAGTCACATCTTGAGGTAGTGAGGGTAAGAACTCCAACACATAAACTTTACGGGGACATAATTTAATCCATAACAACATGGATGGCTATTCTACTGTAATTTTAGTAATAAAAATGCAGAAAAATTCTGAATTACCATTAATAGAGAAATCATTATGTAATATTGTAAGTCATCTATAATAATTATATAACTTTAAAATATGATTTTATTAGTTTATATCAACTTGTATGGATATTCATAATATGCTACGGTCTGGATATTTTTGCCCTCCAAATCTTATGTTGGAATGGAATATCCAGTTTTGGAGGTGGGGCTTGATGGGAGGTGATTGGATCGTGGGGCAGTTTCTCATGGTTTAACACCATCCTCCTTGGTGTTGTCAGGGAGAAAGTGAGTTCTTGTGAGATCTGGTGGTTTGAAATTGTGTGGCACCTCCTCCCTCTCTTCCTTGTTCCGACTCTCACCATGTGACGTGCTGGCTTTCCCATTTCCCTCTCCTATCATTAGAGGACATTTCCAGAAGTGGATGCTGACACTGTGTTTCCTGTTTAGCCTGCAGAGCTTTGAGCCAATTCAGCTTCTTTTTTTTTCTTTTTTAATAAATTGGCCAGTCTCAAGTTTTTCTTTACAACAATTCAAAATTGGCCTAATGTATTTGGTCAGGAGTAAAATGCAATGACGCTATTTTCCTAAAAGGGGACATTTTTCCATTTTGCTTGCTAGAACTTAATTTGATTATTTCTTTTTTTGCTCTTGAGTTGAGATCCTTTCATATTTTGGGTATTACCTCCTTCTTAGATGTATATTTTGCAAATGTTTTTCTAGAAGGGGAATCTGTGGATTTTCTATTATGCCAATTGATCTTTTTGATGTACAGAAGCTTCTCAGTTTGATGCAATCTCCTTTATCTATTTTTTTTTTTTTTTTAATTTGGTTGCCCATGCTTTTGGGGGCATATTGAAAGAAAAAAGTCATTACTTGGTCCAGTGTCATAAAGTTTTTTCCCCTATGTTTTCATCTAGGAGTTTTACTGTTTCAGGTTCTACATTTAAGTTTTTATTTCTGTTTGACTTCATTTTTGTGTATAGAGTAAGATAAGGGTACACTTTTAATCCTCTGCATGTAGACATTCAGTTTTTCCAGCACCAGTTATTGAAGAGACTATGTTTTTCCTATTGTATGCTCTTGCCTTTTTTTGAGGAAAATTAGTTGACCTTAAATGCATGGATTTATTTCTGGGTTGTCTATCCTGTTCCATTGGCTGATATGTCAGTTTTTATGCCAGTATCATGCTATTTTGATTACTATAGTTTTGTAACATATTTTAAAATCATTTATTGTAATACCTCTAGCTTTGCTTTTCAAAGAGTTAAAATTATCACAGGATTTAGTTATTGAAGATCAAAGAATTGTGATGAAATTGACAATGGTATATAGTTATACTGTGGTATAAATGTATAAAAGTTAAGGCATGAAGAAACAAAGCATAGTGCACGTCTCCTTGGAAATAAGGTCCTGTAGTGGGAGGAAAGAAAATGAAAACAACATCCAAGGCAAGATTGAACTACTCATGGTCAGTATCTTATTCAAAATTCACCAATTAGGTAAATGTTTATATATCAACTATTACATCATGAGTGAGGACAAAGTAGAAACCAGAATTCTCAGGCAGTGGAGATTCTGCCAAAAAGTAACGTAACATCAGGAGTAGAAAAGAGGTAATCACTTTCATCAACATTTACTTATGAAAGATCATGAATCAGGAGTCATTTATGAGATTTATGTACATGTGAACATATCTGCATTATTGAAGAATAGTACATTTTAAAATATAGTAATATCAAATATTTGAATATTCAATTGAATACATTCTTCCTGTTGATTTTACATATATATTCTATATTTTGGATCAATATTTTCTGTCACCTTAGGTGTAGTTATAGAAAGCTACACTATTTGGAAATATAGAGCAATCAATATCATTCTATGCTAACAAAACAGATATGAAAAAGCTTAAGGACATTTTGAAATGATAATAAACTAAAAAGTAATGCTACAACAAAATATGAGCATCACCTATTGGGTAAAGTCACTGGCTTTCACTAGTTTATTTCAGGTTCGCCTCTTTGGGTCTTCATTTCCTTATAAAGGCTTTTAGGCTGAGTAAAATATATACAATTGACCCTTGAATAATGTGGATATTAGGGGCGTTGACCCTCCACAAGTTTGAAATACATGCATAACTTTTGATTCCCCCAAAATTAACTACTAATATCCTACTGCTGACTGGAAGCCTTACTGATAATATAAATAGTTAATTAACACATACACACATACTTCGTACATTGTATGCATTATATACTGTATTCTTTTTTTATTTAAATTTTTTTTTTTTGAGATGGAATCTCTCTCTCTTGTCAGGATGGAGTGCAGTGGCACAACAATCTCGGCTCACTGCAACCTCAGACTCCCTGGTTCAAGTGATTTTCCTGCTTCAGCCTCCCGAGTAGCTGGGGCTACAGGCGCCTGCCACCATACCAAGCTAATTTTTGTATTTGTAATAGAGACGGGTTTCACCATGTTGGCCAGGATGGTCTCTATCTCCTGACATCTTGATCAGCCCAACTCTGCCTCCCAAAGTGCTGGGATTATAGGCTTCAGCTACCGCCCCTGGACTACATACTGTATTCTTACAAGAAAGTAAGAGAGAAAAGAAAATGTTATTAAGAAAGTCATAAAGAAGAGAAAATATATCTACTAATCATTAAGTGGAAGTAGATCATCACAAAGGTCTTGTTCCCATTGCATTTGCACTCCATTAACATCTGAAAATGTGTTTTATTTGGTTAATCGCAGAGTGATTCAGCATTCATTATCATATAATATGATCTTTTAGTGGTCTTATTTTTATTGTTTCAGCAATCTTCCATTGACTAGAGTTATTAGGCAAAAATTCCTCAACCAATCCCCTGAATTCCAAATTTAAATATCCTTACTCAAATTACGTAGCAACAACTCTGTTATCCCCCTAATAACCTAAATCAGTAACACTAATCAATAAAATAAACTCCTCTGCCGGTTGATTCAGCGATACTAGTGTTCTAAAGTGGTCAGGGACTGACTTAGCTTCTAATTCATCAAAACTATGACCGTCTTTCCTATGGAAGCAATTCTTTACTGGAAAATAAAATCTCCAAAGAGCAATGGAGCCAAAGGTTTTGGGGATCAGCAAAAATTGCATCATGTAGGGTTTGTAATTACACCTTACTATATTGGTCTCTGAAGTTCTGTATCTAGACTGTGAGAAAGACTGCAAAATATATTGCCCTAAAATTTAAAGCATTTGCCACAGAGTATAGAGGTGTACCTCAGCTTTACAGCATGTGATTTTCCAGGCAATACCATAAGTTTTTGGTGAGCTTTCCAATCATCCACCCAACTGGCTCTGGGTGATGACTACTGAATTCCATGGCTGCGAACCTATTGCTATATTTTCTTTGCTGAGGAATATGCCCACTGATCAGAGGCAATCCTGTGTAGGATACCATGGAAAAAGAGAAGGCATTGAGGAAACTCATCAATGGTGATGCTGCGCAGACATACTGCATGTATGTCCATCAAAGTTCAGAAAATGAACTATCCTCCTCCATCATAGGAGGATCGTAACAAAAACAACCTGGAAACACTAGTTGACTGATAATCCCAGACAATTATGTCATACTGGGGGTTTAGCATTGGCCCAAGAATGTTTGGATTTTGGTGAGGTTTTAACCAGATCAGCAGAGGCTTTAACCAGATCAGCTTTTGAGACTGTGGGCAGGCTCTTTTCTTGTCATCATGGCTACTTTGTTCATGGAACCTCTAAGGCGTATTTAGAATGACCAGAGAAAGAGACTGACTGTTATCCATAGGATAGGCCGCCTTAGTCATCTAATTACTGAGAACTTTTACCACCTTGGAGGCTCGCTGTTTGCATTCATTTGTAATCAAAATATCTTCCCACTCAGTGTCTATCAGCGCCTGTTCTAAGAAGTCTATCTACAGATATCCTTGTTACCAACTTCCCAATGCTATTTATTTTTTAATACCGGTTTCCAGCAGTTTCTTGCATACAATGGATATGTTTTGTGTTATCCTTGTGTATACTCTTGTTTCTTCATGTGTTAACTAGGGTCCTTAGGAAGCAGAGAAAAAGTCAGTAAATTAACAGCTAATTGACTTATAAGCCACTTGCTAAGGAAGTTTACATTAAGCTTCTGGACTTTCTATATCCAAGTCTTCTATATGCAACCGTAAATTTGTAACTAAATTCTGCTCTGCATGATGCATTTGATGATTCAATGAATCAAAAAAAAAAAAAAACCCAGGACATGATGATCAGCACACCTCTTATTCAAGGTCCTACTCAAAACTGTCAGCTTCAGGAATTATCCAATAAATGCATTGAAAAAGCATGACTTGAGATGATGTTTCTTAATCTAAATGTAACCAGCAAAAACTTTTTCATTGGTCAAACAGAATGGATAATTGTATCTTGCTCATTTTCGAAGAAACATCTTTACATGCTTTGACCACTTATCCCTAGAAACTTAACCATCCCCTGGAATTGATCCAAGTTTATGTCTCACCCTTCATTGCACAGTTACATTACTAAGACACATAAGGTGTTTACAAGCTCATATTTATTATATCTAATTAGCATAATGCCATCAACATAATATCCAATGGAATCTTCTGTGGGATTTGATCATTATAATTTTTTTCCCAGATTGTATTGTGCAGCAGCAACATATTGACTTAGTCATGAAACAAGGTAACGTCTTTTTCCTGTTTGAATGGTATTATTTTTAAATGCAAACTGCTTGATATTTTTCTTATTGATGGGAAAGGCAAGGAAGAATCTGTAGCAATTCTTGCACCAAGTGCTATGTTGATTTGCTCGAGTAAAGTTACTATATCTGGAAAGAAAACTCTGATGGACATCACAACCTAATTTAGCCTGTAACCCTCTATAGTTATTATGCATTATTCGATTGGTTTCTGTGCCAGACAATCAAACAAGTTTAAATGGGAGATGTAGGAATCAATACCCCTGCATCTCTGAGGTGCTTGATGATAAAAATAATCTCTTCAGATCCTCAGAGATGAAATGGTTCTTCAATTTACTATTTTTTTTTTCCCAGGAGTACGTAGTTCCGGAGACTTCAGTGTAGCTCTTTCTGCCGTAATACACTTTACTCCATATATTGAAATCAGTATGGAAATCCTTCTAATTTATTTATTTATGATTTTGAAAATAACACACAATTTACCATCAGTCACACTGGACTTTTGTTAAATTTTCCTGGACCACCTTTCTTTGTATTACCTAATGTCTGTAAATCTCTTGTTTCACTAGTGAGCCAGAGTGGAATTGGGTGTCCGGGAAGCATTGCAAGTTCAGAGCCAACATATGATATTCTCTGAAAGTTACAGGTAATTCTTATTTCCTTGCACACGAGCCACAGGTCTGTCTTAGGAATGCTTGGGGAAGGGTTCACAGATTACACCTATGACCATGTTGTAAGATTCCCTTTATATATTTTCCTCCCTCTCAGTTAAAGGGCTCCTCTTATATAAACCAACATCTGGAAACTGTATAAGAGGTTTAGCATCTCATGGTTTTCACTTGAGTGAAGGTTCTGGATTTCTGTACTAGACTTTTTCCTTCTATACATATCGAGTAGCACCTTAGCAGCCTGCTCATCTCTGACTTTTCTAGAGACACATAATTTGTTTGATGACCACTATAGATAGCACTCCATTTCTCCTTGTCTCTGATAAATCATTGCCATCTGATCCCTAAGACCCTTCTTTTTTCACTGAGCTAGAGGAACTCAATTATACTCAGAGCTTGCTACCATCATTTCCAGCCCATAGGTGACATTTATAAGCTTTTCTTTTTCTTCTTCTTCTTCTTTTTTTTTTTTTTTTTTTTTTTTTTTGAGACAGCATCTTGCTCTGTCACCCAGGCTGGAGTGCAGCAATCTTGGCTTACTGCAGCCTATGCCTTCTGGGCTCCTCCCAAGCAGCTGGGATTACAGGCATGTACCACCATGCCCAGCTATTATTTTCGTATTTTAGTAGAGATGGGGTTTTGCCATGTTGGCCAGGCTGGTCTTGAACTAGAATCAAGTCATTCATCAACCTTGGCTTTTCAGTGATATCCTTTCCCCTCTTCTGCCAAATTTTAAATGTCTTGGTGAAAGTACCATCTTCTGGTTCCTCTGTGTGGTATCAGTGGATAATATTTCTACTATTCCCAGGTTAGTGGGGGATAAAGTGAAGGTCAAAATAAGATTGTGGGACTTAGTTGAAGTATTAATAGTTTTCCTTCTTCTCATATGGGAATTTATGGAAAGTAAAGAGTAAAACTGTTTATTTTTTAGTATTCTTAATTGAAATGTAAATAACCCTGAAATATGCTACACAGTGTTCCTGAAATGTGGTCCAGGCACCACTTGTATCAAAATTATCCGGAGGCAGATATTAGAACTGAAGCATCCTCGGCCTCATACAAATACAATTGAGTCAAATGCCCCAGAGGAAATATCTGATAATATCCATTTTAACAAAACTTTAGATGGCAGTCATGCATACCAAAATCTGAGATGCCACAATATGGAGGTAGTTAGAATAAACATAGTTTAGAATTATACTATCATTAAACAAAGTATATGGGAGGCCATTGTTTTGGACTGAGCTCCAGAACTAGGCCCCAACAGACCTGACCAAACCAAAATATAGTCACTCAAGCTAAATGCCAAACAAGCAAAGGAAACTTTAAGAAAGCAGGTAAGTCCCATAACAGATCAGTTTTATTTTATTTTATTTTTTCTGAAAACAGGAGATTCAGATCTACCTGATTCAGCATAAAAAGGAAGTTCTCTCTGCTTTCACCCTTACAAAAATCAAGTAACCTGAAGTAACTTGATTTTATTCAATCAACTACTTTTCTATTGTTCTATCTCCTTAACTCATCTTACAAAAGCCACTTTTCTGCTCTTGTTCGTTGAAAGATCTCATTCTATGCTTTAGAATGGAGGCTGCCCCAATTAATAAATTAAGAATAAAAGCCAATTAGATTTATAACAGTTTGTTTTAATTTTTTTTGAAATATTCAAAACAGATTCTCATCGTGTATCAGGAAAAAAGAGACATAAGAAAGAAAAGAGAGGTGCCATGTTGTATTTATAATAACTCCCTTTTCCTTTGGTTCATAAAACAATGTCTAAATGTTTGCATTAAATAGCCTGCACAGTATGCTACTTTCCAGTAATCACATATTTTTCTGTTTGCTTTGGTTTGCATTTCACCTCTAAACTCTTCTTGCAATTTAATTGCCCTTGTAAGAGTATTGGAAAGTAAGACATTTAAGAGAGATTTAGGCCATGAAGGGTCTACTGTTATGATTAGATTAATACCTTTATTGGGAGAATGAGTTATTTAGAAGTGAGTTCCTGATAAAAGGATGGAGTTTGTCTTGATTCCTCTCTCTGGCTTCTGTGCTCACTTGCACTTCCACCGTGGGCTACCACAGAAAGAAGGCCCTCACCAGATATCAACACCATGCTCTTGGACTTCCCAGCCTCCAGAACTCTGAGCCAAATAAACTTTTTTTAATTTGTAAATTATCCAGTCTGTGATATTCTGTTATAGAAACAGAAAACAAACAAAGACACTACTTTTAATCTCAACTATCATAATGGTTGGAGAACATTTGCTAAGCTCTTCATTCACACAGGACTAGGACCTCTTAAAATGGTAATTGACAGCTATCTTGAAGTGAGACTGGACCTAAATAACTCCCAGTAGGGATGGATTTGATAATTGTTAGGTACGGCTTAGTAACCCCCCACTTAAACATGCTTCCTGAAATCCAAATCCCTTCAAAATGAGCTTCTTCCACTCAAATCTTTGTCTCACAGACTATTTCTAGGTTAGTACAATTTAAAACAAGAAAATATTAACTATATGAGCTTGGTTATTTTTAGTGTTTGGACAGGATGTGGGAAAGTTAAGTTTACTATTAGAATTTAAAATAGCTTAGTCTTTTCTCCCTACATTAATATTAAAAGCATCCAGCTCAAGGAAGAAAAAATTAGAATTCATTTAACATAAAACAAATCAGTTAAAGAATTGCAAATCCTTTGTTTAATAGAGTAAGCACTGTATAAGAATCAGTGATGAGGCTGGAAATAGGGGAAAATTATTTACTGCAATGAAGAGGTTGATTTGAGGGATTACTTTAGAATTAGGGCTAAGGTTAGGCCAGGCATGGTGGCTCACAGCTGTAATCCCAGCACTTTGTGAGGCCAAAGAGAGCAGATCACTAGGTCAAGAGTTGGAGACCAGCCTAGCCAACATAGTGAAACCCAATCTCTCCTAAAAATACAAAAATTAGCTGGACATGGTGGTGCATGCCTTTAATCCCAGCTACTCGTGAGGCTGAGTCAGGAGAATTACTTGAACCCAGGAGGCGGAGGTTTCAGTGAACTGAGATGGCACCATCGCACTCCAGCCTGGGCAACAGTGTGAGACTCCTCAAAAAAAAAAAAGAAAGAAAGAAAGAAAAGAAAAAGAATTAGGACTAAGGTTAAATTTAATTCCAAGTTTTTTCTAAGGTAATAACAGTGCTCATACAATCTTTGAGAACTTATGCCACTAAGATTTTACATATGAAAAATTTGACCTTCCAGTTCTAAATTAGCAAACATTTTAAAGTCAAAGCAAACTTAGGGAACATGGTAACCATGAATTATTCATGGAAACAAATGACAACATTGAATCTTGAATATTGAAGTCTTGTTAACAATACTCTGTTACTGTTTCCACATTAACAAAAAATCTAGAATTAAGATCTCTTGAAAATTGACCACTGGTGAACATTAAAGTAAGGTGCATGTAGGAAAAAAATAAAAATAAAATAATTAAACATTGATCATGTGACAAAAGGGGAATGGATGAGGTAAACAGAATATAATGTGTTTACTTTGTTTGTTTTAATCTGGAAGTCAACGGATAATGTAAGATAGAATTGTAATTATTTTAAAAATTAAGTACAAGATGATACTGCCTGTCATTTTTTCTCATTATTACAGAAGATTATTCTAGAACTAATAACTGTTGTGGAGAAATATTTACTTTAAGTTCTTAAATTTACATCAATTTCTGCCAAATTCAATGAAATTTAATGTATTCTGTTTATCACAGTTTAAAAAAAAGCACTGAGTTTTAACTCCTGTCATCCTATTTTTACAAATAGGGAGATATGAAATTTTGTACCACAAAAATGACAATTATTTCTCAGTGGGAGTATTCCTGGGCTTTTTTTCTTTTCCCATTCTTTACTTACGTATTTCTTAATATATTCAAAATGAGCATGCGTATCTTTTAAAAAGCCACAGCATTATTATTACCCTGAGTATTTAAAAATTAATAAGAAACTTTAATATGTAACTCTATAGTTTTTACAATAGAGTAAGATAATATATTATAATAACAATTGTGTCCCTGTTTTTCACCATCATAAAATAATCTGAAACACATACTAATTTATAGGGTCAATCACACATAAATTTCTTTTTTCTAAACTCTATATTTATTTTAAATCATATGTCATATTTTAGTTTCAGTGTTTTACCAATATGCTTTTATCCATATTCAGTCATACAGGCATTCATGGCAAATTTGTGACCTCATAATCATTCTTCTGCTCTCAGCTTTCCCATGTGTTTCAGATCCTAGATAGACATAGCTACTGTTGATGTCATCGGACTTTATGTGGAGTAGATCACCATCTTGAACTAGAAATACAGAATTCTACTTTTTTTGCTATAATTAGATAATCTTCAGTCCCTGGAGTTTACAAAGCTGTGTCTGTTATTCTTGAAAATCTTGTGTCATTTCCAGAATAAATGAAAGGATTGCTGCCATTGTAGAAATACCACTACTGTTCACTTCAGCCACTAACCACCAGCACCCATTCAAGGCACTACCCACCTCCCACTACAAAAAAGCACTCATTCCATTCAAACGGCAATTTTCCCTGTAAGTTTATAATCAAACACAATCACCATCATTCACACTGCCCTCCTTAATTTCTGCTATTCACTATCCATTCCCCCAACAGCCACTCTTAAAATCTGCAATCTGTCTTTAGTTTCCATCTGTCCTTTATTTTCTTATCCTCTTGCTGTATCCTCTTTCTTATCCTCTTGCCTTTCTCATTGGTGAGTTCATAAATAACACCTCTCTGATATTTATCAAGAAGGCTTTTACAAAGACACAATAATTTATACACCTTCAACAATTTTGTGTGAGTGTGGCATTCACTTGAATTTCCATCATCATGTTCATTAAACACATTTGTGACCCTCAGTTATACAGACACATCCAAATGGATCTTCTCAACTCGTTCTTGAGTAAAGTACAGT